GTTATCACATAGCCTGCCATTACACACTACCTATCATTAGTCACTAACAGTCTCCATTAACAACTATTCACCCTCCCAGCTAGATCGTTATCCACTCCTTTGTCTGTCCAACTGTACTTCTCTCTCTTTGGGCTCTATCCCAACCTATCATTTACTACTTACCCCCTCCCCCCACCCTATCTTCTGCATATAAACCGACATTTTCCCAGCTACCATCAGTTCTGAGGAAAGGTCACTGGAGCTGAAATGTTAACTCTGCTTTTCTCTTCACAGATGCTGCTAGACCTGCTGAGCTTTTCCAGCAACTTATGTTTTTGTTCCTGATTTACAGCATCTGCAGTTCTTTTGGTTTTCGTTGCTACAGCAGAATATTTTTTTCTTTTTTCCTGACTGTAATGTCAATCTTTCAACGATGTCTTATTTCTGACTTTTTTTTTTAAGCTCTGTAAAGTAATGCATCCACTTGTTAATTCCTCTTTTGTATCCAAGATTTGTACCTAGGTACTTGTACCTAAGATCATAAGAGGCAGGTATTGTAAAAGCTTTTCACTGTACTTGTACAATGGAGTACATGTGACAATAAAGGATATTCTATTATATCCTAATCTGTCAAAATTGCTCATAATGTCGAATACCTCAATGAGGTCACCTGTTAATCTGCTCTGTTCCAATGAGAATAAGCCCAATCTCTCTTATTTTGCCTTGTATCTAAAATCTCTCATTCCTGTTGTCATTCTAGCAAATCTCCTGAATATTACCTCCAGGACTTTAATATCCTTTCTTAAATAAGGTGCCCAGAACTGAACACAATACTCCAAATGTGGTCTGACCAATGATTTGTAAAGGTATAGCATCACTTCCTTGCTTTTATACTTTCGGCCTCTATTTATAAAGAAAAAGTTCCTATAAGCTTTCTCAACAACTGTTTCAACTTGCTCAGCCACCTTCAGAGAATGATACATATGAACCCTGAGGTCCCTCTGCTCCTATACTCCTGTCAATGTTGTACCTTTGAGCCTGTGTTGCCTCTCCATGATTCTTCCTCAGTACTTTGCATTGAAATTCATATGCCAGGTACCTGCCCATTTGGCCAACTTGTCAATGTCCCTCAGGTTACTCAGCATCATCCTCACAATTCACTATTCTCCTTAGCTAAATACCACCTGCAAATTTAGAGATTTTTGTCCTCAACACCCGTCTCCATATCATTTATTTAAATCAGAAAAAGCATCACTTTCAACTTGTCTCTAGTCTCAGAAATGCCCACCTACACTTACCCTCTGTTTCCTATCTTTTAGCCAACTTCTAATCCATGTTGTCAATGACCCATCAATCCCAAACATTTCCAATTTGCTAACCAACCTGCCATGTGGCGAGTGACATAGTACTCCAGATGTGGTCTCACCAATGCCCTGTATAACTGAGGCATCCTACTCTTGTATTCAGGCAGTGTGAGTACTTACAGATAAACAGAAACCTGGGGGAAGGGTCTGAGACTGAATCTACCTGAGAGGATAGGTTATTGCTGTGACATGAATCATCACAGATTTTGTGTTACCTGGCAGCGAGTGTGAATGATTTGGCCAATGGCATTGCTGACCAACCCAGAACAGCTCCTCAGATTCAGCTCGACCAAGTGTGGCACCAAGAGAAGGTGCAAGTAGGCTCGGCTCAGACGGTGTGTCTCACCCAGTAACTGCAGCAGATCCTGAACCAGACTTGACGCTGAAGGGCAAAGGAAGAACAACATCTGTCATTCTATATGTAAACCACCCTGAATCCCTCAATTATATTCCAGCATTTACCTCACTCCTGGATATCTGTCGTTCTATGTAAAAACTGCTGAATCCCTCGACTAGATCTCAACCTGTAACACACTCCTAGATGTCTGGTATTCTACAATTTAATCCATTCTAAACCACTTGATTAGATTCCAGTCTGGAACACACTCCCAATATCTGTTATTGTATATATAATCCATTGTAATCCCCTTGATTAGATTCCAATCTACACACGTTCCCAGATATCATTTATTCTATATGCAATCCATCTTAAACCCATTCACTAGATTCCAATCTGTAACACACTCCTGGATGTCTGGTATTGTATAATATTATCCATCCTATAACATTGATTAGATTCCAGTCTGGAACACAGTCCTAGGTATCTGTTACTCTACAGGAATATATAATCCAGTCTAAAGCCTTGATTAGATTCCAGTCTGTAACAGACGCCCGAGTATCTGTTATTCTGTATTTAATTTGTCTTAAACCCCTTGATTAGATTCCAGCCTGTATCAGCCATTCCATATGTAAAGCTCCTGACAGATGGAGCAGTGAGTGGGATAAAAGTTAGGGAGCTATCAATACCTATGGTGTCAAGGTGCTCTTACCAAGGTCATTGAATGGCCCAATGATGTACAGGAAGTCATACTGGGTCAGGTAGTTATCCATGTAATCCTTGGCCCACACTTCCTTCATGTTTGCCGCCACGTTACATAGACATAACTGTTTGAGTGTTCGCACTTTCTGCCTCCTTGGCATTCTCAGGTAATTGGAGCAGATCCTGGTTCGGAGAAGGTTGGTGAGAGGGGTGGGGTACAAACAGAGGTGGATGGGGGTGGGGAACATTAACAAAATTAAACGTTACATACCACGAAAATAAACCAAACGCTGCAGTTATGAAAAATTGAAAGTAGAATCAGAAGATGCCAGAGACATTGAGAGGAGAGAGAAACAGCGTTGATGAACCTCAATGAGGTTCCTCATGAACTACCAACAGGCACCACTGAGCACTCGAGAGGCAGAAACCTTTATATTGAACCAAATCAGTTATATGAATCCAACACACTGAGTCAGTATCTGCAGTAAACCTCTCACTCAGCCCAACATAACCAATTCTGCTCCACATTTGATAGAGACATCAAGTGCAGCAGCAAGAAAGTTACAATAATGAATCTTTAATAAAACTAGACCGGCCTCAGATGGAGACAACAAGGTGCAGGGCTGGATGAACACAGCAGGCCAAGCAGCATCATAGGAGCAGAGAGGCTGACGTTTCGGGCCTAGACCCTTCATCAGAAAAGGGGGAGGGGAAGGGGGTTCTGAAATGAATAGGGAGAGAGTGGGAGGCGGATAGAAGAGGGATAGAGGAGAGGATAGGTGGAGAGGAAACAAACAGGTCGAAGAGGCGGGGATGGGGCCAGGAAAGCTGAGTGTAGGTAGGGAGTTAGGAAGGGGATAGGTCAGTCCAGGGAGGACGGACAGGTCAAGGGGGCGGGATGAGGTTGGTCGGTAGGAGATGGAGGTGCGGCTTGGGGTGGGA